TACCAGGTAGTAAGGACTACAATGCACAAGACGCAAAGATGGCTCACCACAATTACTGTCCCAAATTTGAATTATTCCGCTATACACCTACACGATAAGAACCATAGCTGGCTCGCGCATGTTCAAAAAGGGTATGCTTGAAGATGAGGGTGCTTGTAGTCGGGGAGGCTACTGCATATGACCCGCAAACATGCGACTATACACTCAAGAGCACAGGCGCACTTCCACACACTACTTCATGTGCACGTATCGACACATCTAGATAAAAAGACAGTATCCTTCAGTTAACTGACAAGTTCGACATTAAACTGTGTATCTCAGAAGGTGGAACTAGAAATGGCAAATCTATGGCTCTAGCGAGACATGTCGAACTGCACATACCTTTTCTCTAATCTCAAGAGCACGTTTGCACAGAGGCTCGGCATCCTTGAACTTGCCGCGCTTTCCATAAAGGACCGCCAAATTGTTCAGAGTAGCAGCAACCTAAACTCAAAAGCAAAGTGAGGACGTCTTCAGTCGCTGGAAAAAAAACAAATTGGAACCGTAAAATGTGTTATGATTTCTTGAAATGCCTCACTAAACTTGTCCTACAAGACAAAGAGGAAAGGACCGAGAAATGGCCGAGGTTCATGAATGCAGAGCTCATAAATAAAATGGGATGCGAACTTACGGCAGAGTGATTTTCTCCTAGACATTTCTCCCTGATTGCGAGCGCTTCATTGAGAAGATTAGCAGCTTCTTTGTACTTGTTTTGATCTCTGTAAAGCGGGAACTACAGATGATAACTTTGCAAGGGAAATGTCAAACGAATCTATTCACCTGTAAACAAGTGCAAGAATGTTAAGCATCGTGGCGACGTCAGGATGGTCGTGACCACTAGTCTTCTCAAGGTCCTCGAGGGCCTGCTTGCAGAGAGGAACGGCGACTTCATAACGACCTTGTGACGCATACTGGATCACCTGAGAAAGACACCCGTCATCTTCAAGGACGCACATACTGTAATTATTAAGGAGGATAGTGATGTGGTAGTAGTCGTAAGTAAGGGAAGGCGAAAGAACTCAAATAGTGCACCCCACGCTCTATGAGAAATCAGTGGCATTGCCCGCAACATTGCAACAAACAACAAACAATCATTCAATGCTGCAAAATTTCCACTTCAACAACGGCCTAACTCACAGATAACACCTCGAATAACAAGAGAGACAAACGCATATGGTACTGAATTAAGGTTTGTAATTGGGAAATCATTTCTAATGAATGTAGTGCGTGGGAGACGGTCAATAAAACAGCACCACAAGAAATTCAAATGCAACAGTGCGTCTGAAAAATTAATTTTACCAGATTGTGCAATGTGCGAAGTCGTGCTGGAATCTCGTAGCCCACAGAAGCTGAAGCTGCCATTGAATGCGCCGGTGTTGGCTGCGCAAATTGACCTAAAAAAGTTCATGAGGGTATAATGAAAACATTTAATTCAGAAGCCCATTTATTCAATTAATTACTGATGGGTGATGTTATATATAAGAGTGTGCTCTTGGAGCTCACTAAACAAAATTGCACATAAAAACCTTCCGAATGCAAGCTAATGCAGTACTAATAGGTTTCATATCAAAATTGCAGGCCTCCTAACTTTTTCAATTTATTACTGTGAAAACGATATCTTTCACTTGTTCTACGTAGGAAATATAGTGTGCTGTGTCAAGAGGGATGAAAGCGCGGCTGAAAATGGAACTCTGTGGCCTGACATGACGCAGAGATCCATTTTCTCAAGCTGGAATCTTCAATCTTATCATGAATGCATGACACTCACTAGACTGCAGATCCTCTTCGTCTTCAGGTCCAAAACCAAGATCTTGAAGGGTGTCATTCGTAGAAGGTACATTGGCTTCGGAAGGTGCGGATTTCACATCGTTCTGCTATAAGTAGACGAATTATTGCAAAACAGAGCCTTTTGTTCCTCTTATTCCATGTTATGGAAAATAAACAATCTCAGGGAAGGATCTCCGTGACTCACGATGTCGTCATCGAATTGTTTGATGGAGTTCATATATTTGAGATGTTTGTTTTCTTCCTCCAAGGTTGCCACACGCTAAATAGAGATGTTACGGGGAAGCTTGTTTTTTTTTTCTTTCTGTTTTGTAAAGAGAAAAGAAACCTGTTCAGAAGTCTGTAGCTTGATTTGGGTCGAGCTTAGCTCATCACGTAGCCAAGCATTTTCCTGACAAAGGCGGCGTCGCTGAGCCTGGAATATTTAGGAATATTTTTGAATGACTGATAATTACTCTGAAGATAGCACGATAGAAGATGCTATCAACATACCTGGTATTTTTGTTTTTCTGCTTCCAAATTATTCAAGTGAGACATTATCGATACCATCATCTACAAAAAATACAGAGTCTGGTGAGGCAGAACAGAGCAGTATTTACCAATAAGATTCCCAAGTCTAGACAGAAGTAGATTCGTACCGTGACTTCTTCAAGACCGCTAGATATACTGCCCACGTTGTCTGTAATTTGGTGATGCTTTNATTTTTGTTTTTCTGCTTCCAAATTATTCAAATGAGACATTATCGATACCATCATCTACAAAAAATACAGAGTCTGGTGAGCAGAACAAAGAGCAGTATTTATCAATAAGATTTCCAGGTCTAGACAGAAGTAGATTCGTACCGTGACTTCTTCAAGACCGCTAGATATACTGCCCACGTTGTCTGTAATTTGGTGATGCTTTTCTCGAGGCATTGGCGCTTCATCTTCACTGATTCCTAAAAAATAGGCTGTGATTTAGCAAAATCCGGGAGCCCACACAGTTTCTACACAAACACACGTTCCGAGACAATCGTCGCGGTCAATGACCCATGCAACAAGCATATGGCTACGTTCATGCGTGATGTAGTTGAGTATGACACAAATATCGCTTTGGAAATATGCATAACAACTTCACATGGACTCAAAGCGAACGCTTAAATATCGAGGAAAGAGCATGCTTTTCGAATGCCATACATGAAAATTGTGACTCTTTACTTATTATTATGTCAGTTAATTGTTTCTAAGAATTCCGTTCATGCGTCCTATTGCATAAGGCAGTGGCATGACATAAGGATGATGGATTCCTCGGGCGCTTCAAGTAGTGAAACCTAGTTTTTGATCCTCCGAGGGCATTAACGAGGGCTAGTTTCGCACATACACATTTTGCTCATGTAGCAGCACTGCATACAATGTTTAAGCAAAAGGAGATACAACANACAACACGAGTGAAGTGTACTTGCGTTACTCTCTGCTGAATAAATGGACTTGAAAAAAATCCACAGCGCAAATCGAGATTGCGTGAAAAAAAATGGCCCCATTATTTCTTTGGCATTCATACAAGAAAATATCGCGAAGGGTTCTAATTGTGAGTACCTTGGCGTTACTCATAATGCTTTTGACTCCAAAATAAGGTAAAATCTTGAAACACCAACAAACATTTGAGAAAATTAAATTTAGTTACAATATTAAGGGTGTCCTTTTCAATTCTTATGGATTTGGGGTAACAGAAATCTTTGAGCTGCTTGTCAGAATTTTGAGCAACAACAACCAGATATGGAAATATAATTGCTAGTTCGAAGAACGCATAGCCACAGAGCAGACACAGTACCACTATGTCTACCAAATAGAAAGGTATCGTGACCGCTGCCTTACGTTCCCACCATATTACCCTACAATTGACATTTTGCTGTTGAGCAGACAATATGGAAACATTTGTGGCTACCTATTTTCCAGTGAACTTTCTCAGTGAGCGAATTCAGTGAACCTCTGCATTAAATATGTCGAAAATGTGCCCATTTTATGAATTCGCGTCTGTTCAATATCTTTTCGAGAGGATCAAGGCTGGAGACATCCCTCGTGATTAACTTCGACAGTCTTTGATCCCCTGTGCACTCTTTGAGCAATTTTACTCCTTTTCTGAGCAAAAAAAAAAAACACGACCACGTTGTAGAGACACGAGCTAATTAAGTCTCTTCTAAACGGGGCCAAAATGCATGACGCTTCTTCCCCGGTATGTGGCTATTAAACCCACCCTTCTGGTCATGCTAAAGTCTATAATTAGCTGCAGACAACGCGGATAATGTCTTCTTTTTAAGTTGCAGGCAGATGTTTTCCGTTGTTATGCATCACACGAAAGCAAGAAGTAAAGCAAAGAGGGTCGGAGCCCGTTCCTGCCGCAGAAATAACAGCTACCCTTCACCCATCCATACAGTGATTTATGTGAGTTTTTCAATCTCCTTGAAACAATGGTTGCGTGCGTCATTTCAAGGGCCAAACTCAGTTGTCTTTAGGAACCGAGTGCAAATAATAGAGGAGAATAGGAGGTACGATAGATAACAAAAAGGGTTGCAGGAATCTGATGAAGATCGGGCAAGTAAGGAAATTTTATAAACCTTACCTTTGAGACTGCTCTCAATTGTTGCGCCGACATTATTGTGCTCGTCCCGAAGAGCTTCGAGGCCTTGCTGGACGGTTCGAAGGCCCGTCGAGACGTCCTCTTGCGTCATATTACTCATCCTCGCCAAACTCTCAATCTTCCGCCTAAATAAAAATGCGTTTACACAAAAATTAGAGGCCATGAGTTCATTCAATATCACAAAGTGCACAAATGGGAGGAAATGTGAAGAATAAATATGAATGGAAAGAAAACGATGAAAGCTTCGTAACTAGTAAGAATGGTAAGATGGGCCAGAGATTAGCTTCCTAAATTCCCACAGAAGAGTCTGCTTTCACTTTGGCAGGAACACCAATGCCTTCGTGTTCTTCTAGTCTTTCGGTCCGGCAAATATTTTGCAATAAATATATACTCAAAAAAGAATATCGTAAGAAATCTGCTTCAATTAACTAAAAAAAATGCTTTAAAGACGGATATAGAGATAAAAACAAAATCTGAATCAAATTACCATTGCTATATTTGTATTATTGAGCACTTAAACAATAAATATCAAAAGAAATAAGTTATTAGTAAAACTTGAATTATTTATCTAATAAACCTTCATAGTAATCAAGTTGCCCAGCCACGAGGATATATCTTTGGGCAGAAATATCCATGGGATCCCAAAGCAATCTGGACAGCTATTCGAAGTATGTCAGCGACTTCGCAAGAATGAAGTTTGAAGAAAAGCGTGTCGAAACGCCAAATTGAGAGGAATCGCGACGATGGGGAGAAAGATGTTAAACAAGGAAAAAAAGGAAGGAGGGAAGGATGTAAGCGGATCAATATGTCCGCAAGGACATCGCCCCGTCAGATATCAACGTCATGGCAAGAGTGATTAACTGAAGCGAAATCAATCAATCGGATATGAACTGTAGATTGATCTTTGAAGATTGAAATGAGTCAGCTTTGGTGGGGTGGAACATACGAGCAAATCAATCGGGAACATCAAGGAGGCGCTTGACGGCCGACCGAAGTCGGTTGGCGAAGGGTTGCGAAACGAGCCCGAATATTCGGGTATTCAATTGGGAGTTTCGTCGTTTTGACTTGACTCAACCTACTCAGAGAAAATATGGTAAAATCAAGAAAAGTGGTTACAAAGGAAATGCGCTATAACGTGAGCATTCGAGAGGAATTCCAACTCAATCAAATCCCAAGTGTTGCCGTTACAATAAAGCTAGTCAGCAATGAATCTCAACCGAATCGAATCACAAAATAGATTTTTACCAATTGAAAAACGCGGTGATTCATAGAAATCGCCAACTGGCCGATAAAATGATGTAACGAAGACTGGCCTGTCGACAATTCAACGCTTCAACACAACACAAGGCCTGCGAGGACCTCTCGGGGCCGTTCGCCCGGCCAATCAATAACCCTTCGAGAGGGCTCTAATTGGGAGAAAAACTGCGTTGGAAACGGCCAACTATCGGATCGAACGGCCGACGCAGCCGTCACTGCCCTGGGCTTCGAGCCGATCGATAATTCGATACATGCGACGACGGCGAGGAGTCGACGACAATCGCGGGCCAGCGCCCACCCAGGCCCTCATCACACAGCTGGCCAAAGAGAGCGCACTGAGGGAAGGCGTGACATCGCGCACGAGACCAGGTGGTTTCCCAGGTACACGCAGGACACCCCCCGATGTCACCTCTCGTAAATGCACAACACAACAGCACGCTCCTCCGGCAAAACCGCGCTCCCATGTGAACGCTCACATATTTCAGTTCAGTATAAAAGTCCCTCCTACTTGAGCTTAAAGCAGGACCGTTACTTTTATACATGCCCCTAAGAGTAGGTCAGTAAACTTGTAAGCAGTTCACCAAGCGACAGGGGAAGGACGCAAATCCCTCTCGGCCCATGCTTCCTAGTGGTTTCTGGTTGGTGTTTTGCCCATGTGTTTAACCACATTCCCCACTGGCTTTCCGCATGCAAAGCATATGTGACGAGTTTCTTTCAGCCTCTAATGGGTTGTATGCTGTGGGCTTTGAATAGGGAAATTAAGCCACGCCCTCGAAGATCAAATTTCAGGAGGCGCAGACATTTAAAGGATCTTTTTCCGTTGCCTTGTGTCAGATAGGTGACTGGAGCAGTAAATCGATTGAATTAACAATCTTCGCCGACTACAACACTCACCTTAGTCAGAGACTACCATAAACATCGCTTAGCATCTGATTCAAGCTCTTCTTCCTAACTGAATGTGGGGCTACTGTATCATGAAATCCACGGACTGTGAAATAGGGTTTGTCCCGAAAGGCAGGACACATACATCAGTGAGTGCTCACTGCATCCTTTAAACCCACATAACACTGCATCCTTTAAACCCACATATCGAAAAATATTCAGAAAAACCTTGGCGAGGAAGGGAAAATCAGGAAATCAAGCTTGCAAACTCCTAGACGGCTTTCTTTTCCTCGTGGCCGTGTGTCAGATTAGTACAAAAAGAGCAGAGATACTGAAAGAATTCCGCATAGTCGAGAGAAAAATGAAAATCTTCAGCCCTCAGTCTGTGGTCGTCCGGCCTCTACGAATCTACCTAGAGTTTAGAAAAGAGCGGTATCCATAATGGGAAACCTACCCAAGGGATGATTCCTCCTAAAACACTGATAGAGTAGAGGGAGATACAGTAAGAATGCCCTCTGGGGTATGTCCCAGGCTCGTGAAAGCTGGTGCCATTCGCTCACTGAGGGCTGCTGAATATTGGCATGGCTATGCCGAATCCTCTATCAATTTTCTGCTCTGCCATCACTTGTCATGGTGCAATGGACAGAGAAAAATCGTTTGAAAATCCAGCCCGTTGAGGAATTTTCCTAAAGTGATCTTTCCAACACTACTGAGGACGTTTTCGCATACGGCTGCACACGAAAGTTCCTAATAAGTTACTTGAAATCCTTAAGCCGATGTATGGCGGAGTTACTCATATTGTTCAGTGGAGGTGTGGCAGCTAACAACTCACCATGGGTCAAGGCAAAGTGACGAGGACGATCATAAGGCTTTCAATTACTTGGCTACAAGAACAGTTTAACGACAGCTACTGGAGGAAACGTCTGTTTATTGCTGGAACTCTGCGAACCTTCAACCCATGGGTCCGGGAACTTCTCCCCTAACACGGCGTCGCACACGCCGCACCCGCCGCCAACCGCAGAATTGCGATGGAAGTTGGAGCGCGCAATTTGTGAGGTAGGGAGCCCTTTAATTATTTGAATTGGCTGACCGCTTCCTTCAATTTCAATGCAGTCTTGATCGCCGCTTACATGGGAGGAGTCATCTTAATTAATCAAGTCTAATGAACATGAAAACTAAAAAGAAACAGAAGGAAAAACGGCAAAATCTAATGAAAAAGCAAGCCAGTCAAGGAAAAATATCGCGTCCTATCGATTGGCGGGAGGCGGGGTGAGTACGGTAATTGCAGTGACATTTGCCGCATGCCGCAAGGGAGAATGCCGCGATAGGGGAGAAGTTCCGTTACCCGATCTCAATAAACATGGCTGGGCGGAGGAGGTGTAGTGGCAAGTGGCGCATAATCTCACATGCACAGTCACGAGCTCGGAACCCGGATCGACTTCCGCCTAGGCGAACCAAGCCTCTCATCCCTCCGGGGTCGGTTAATTGTTACCACTCCTTTGGGAAAATAAAAGCACTGACTTGTACATCGGTTGGTCACCGCAATTCATTGTGTAGGCCACATACGCGTTCATTACACTACTGCGATTTTGAAAGGAAGTCGAATGCGTGGTCGCATCCTCAGACGGGATTGATTGGCGCCCCCAGACTTTATCCTTTTATCCTCTAAATGTGATTATTGGGGTAATTTCGAAGGGAGACTTCAGTTCTGTAGTTCTACTCGCACCTCTTGTCACTCCCCTGTAAGGTGAACTGTCTGACTTCTAGTATTTCCTATCAGACTCAGCTAAGTTAACATCGATTGTTCAAATTAGACTTTATTACTATTGGACAGCTTAAAATAGCAAGAGAAATAATTATAAAACCAATGTCAACATAAATTAGACAATGCGGCAAAATATGGAAAACAAAACATTAAATGGGAGGAGTGGCAAAAAAAATTCTGAAATGAGGGCAACACAATCACATTTTAAGTAGGCATTTGTTCCTACACACCTGCACCCAAACTATTAGGTCGATGAAATAATCAGGCACCTGGTCTGAGAATATGAATCAACTTGAAAACAGGTCGTTAGCTTTTAAGGTAAATCTCGGAAGCAGCCAGAAAAATGCACTGTTACTTCGTTGCCAGTCTAACGTTTGGCAGAGGACGACCCTTCAGACTTCTCTGGACATTTGGTCCCGTTTTTTGTCATTAGACACCATTAAGAGGTCACGCATGAACACCTCTGGATTGTGTTTTTCATCGCAGTTGCATAATGTCAGATATGTGTCACTAGGAGTTTTATCAGACCCCTTCACTGGCTCCAACACAACTGCAGCGTCCCCACCTGCTTCGTTTTCTTCCTGCACGACCCTGTATTGAGCCAGTCACAGCTGTGTATTACATAGCCATTATCTTATGCACGTACATCCCCTTCATTAGTTGCACGCTCTGTTCTGTTTTCCCTCGTGTTGTACCGTTAATTTCCTTTTACTCTTCCCTTGCCCATGCAAGCACAGGGAGATGCAAATGTGATGACGTGATTTTGATTTTTCTCTTTTTGCTGTTTCGGAATGTGTAATTGTAATGAAGTTTCGGATCCACATTTGCAGTTAGCTCAGCTGAGTCTGACAGAGAGAGGTCAGTCAGAGAACTAAGCGAGATCGTCCTGTAGGGGATTGGTCGCTAATGTTATGGAATTTGCTGAGGAGGCTTCACCGTCAAATCAGCCGAACATCAGCGGCTTCAGTGAGGAAGAAAAAAGGAGCACAGTCTTACACCTTCAGCTGTCTCTTTTTAGAAACGATGAGCCTTTTCAGAAGGGTTCATGACCACACATGGAGCCGTCTGCACTGCGCCCCGAGCGAGGTAAGGGACGAACACCCAAGAATTCGATTCTAAACGATCTTTTCCTATAAAGACCAATCCTGCTGAGAGCTGCTGATTCCTTACTTGGCTATGCGGACGCTTCATCAATTTCCTCCTCAACTGTCACTAGTCTGACCCATGCCAGAAAAAAATCCCATTTAAAAATTGCACCC